AGAGCATGTATTCACCCCATAGCCCAGCAGGCTGGAAAAGGTCAATGAAAAGTGCACTCAGTTGTGTTCAAGGAGCCAAGTTTCAAAAGGCTGCAGCCCTGTGAGAACGGAAGGGAGCAGGTGGAGAGGTACAAATAGCCGAGAGAAGGGTGATCTGCCAAGCAAAACGGCAGCTTAACATCCTGGTGCGGGAATTCAGCGGGGTTGGGAACAGCTCTGGGCTTCCTCCCTGCGACCAGCAGAAGGCAAAGAATTGGCCTGGGGAGGCAAAAAGGAGCCCTAGACTCATGGGCCCTACAGCAGCTGTATACATCCTGGACATGGCAGCACAAATGGCACTTTGTTTATTCCGTGTCATACAGGTGGATGACAGGAGGACTGTTAGGCAAATCTTGACCACAGCAGGAAACCACAGATGGCAGCCAACCCCCTAGAGAGAAAACCTAATGCCAGTCTAATATTTATGAGGGCAGCATGTGGAGAGGCTCCGAACAGTAAGTTTCACTCCCAGAGAGAATGTGGGATGGGCATGGTTTTTGCAAAGGCACCTGCCAAGTGACTAGGAAGCAAACAAGTTGCAATGCAAGTTCCTGTATGTGACTTGAAACTGGTTTGTGCCCAGTACCCATTCCAGCCTTGGGCTGTCTGCTCAGCTTACCATCCAGGTGCAGCATTTAGGATGCGTACGCCAAACTGCTGCACAAATGGGAGTAGGCTGTGTTTCACCTCAAAGCAATCAAATTGTCTAATTGGTCAGAAGTGTGTTGTCAGCAGTATGAGCAGGTGAACTTAAAAGGTAGATGTAACATGCTCTAGGAGAACCTGCTTTAGCAGGGGGGTTGGACTAGATGATCTCCCGAGGTCCCTTCCAACCCTTGCCATTCTGTGATCTGTGGTTGCGGTCTTTCTGGCTTTGCCAAGCTGTGAGAGAGACAGTTTATTATTTGCTTTTTGATATCTTGAGCCGCTGGCTGCTAGGCTGTTACATCCACGTAGGATTGTCAACAAGACGTGTTTCTCACATGTAGCTTCACTAGTCTCACAGCCAAGAGATTGCACTAGACAGAGATAAGCCCATTCTAGCATAACCATTTTTATGCAGCAAGGCAGCTTTGTTTAAGTCTACCTTCACGCTTGAGTGAACAGATTGTTCAAAAATGGGAAATCACCTCTGTAAACTTGGAGAAAATACTAATCAGCTCCTCCAACAAGACTGAAATCCACAGTTCATTCTTTCACCATACAAATAACATTTAATTTACAGAGCATAGGCCCTGCTGGGCAAGTAACAATGTGAATGGCATAATAATTTAGAGGTTATAGTAAAAGTGCAGTGCCAGTCTTTGCAGAAACCTTGCGTGATCATTCAGCATGATGATGCAATCATGAGGAATATATGTGCTGTCCGTGGGATCAAAGTGCAGGGTGTTTAATTGAAAAAATTGTTGTCAATTTGAGAGACTTCTCAGGGTTAGTCTGTTTGAAGCATGTTCATCATTGCATTAGAGAATCTATTCTAGTGTAGGTTAAGTGGCTTTGTAGTGAGTATCTTAATCTAATACCACAGTTAATCCTCTCAGACAAGCCTCCAGTGTATGTATAAATACACTCAAATGGCAGCAGCTATTGGACATGCACTTTTTAAGTTAACATCTCACTCTGCGAAGCGCTTGCATTAATGGCAAAAAGAATTGTAAGTAGCTTGAAAGAGCACGTTTTGCTTTGGCTTGAGTGATTTCTGAAGATCAACTTCTATTTTCTCTGTACCCCTGTATAGTAGGTATGTTGTTCACTTAAATTTATTGTTAGAAATGCTAAGTACAAAAGAAAAAAAAAAAAGCAGTTTTGGTACCTAGCCATTAGCTCCAGCAGAATTTTACCTATTCAGTTAAAGCTGTAAGTTACTGACTGAAACCCACAGCAGTGTTTTGTGTACTCAGTGGTGGTGCACATGGACAGAATTTAAAAGCTGTTTATATAGAGTAAGCATAGTCATAATTAAAGAGTAGAAATGTGTGTTACAGTGAAGTGGTAGCCCCTAAAAATGAAATAAGCCTTATGTTAATATTTATTTTTCAACCCAGGGCACACTAATTACATCCTACTTTCAAGTTCATGTAGTAAGTAAATAGAGTCCCATACTAGTTTCCTGTTGAGAGAGTTGAGGACTAGTGTGTGCGTATGTGCCGTGTGTTGAAGACCACTGAAGCAGTACCAACCACCTGCGGAATTGTCAGCTCCATCCTCTCCCTTTGGAGCCAGTTGCCAGAAATGGTACCGCATTCCTTCCAGCCCCGCAATACTCCTCACGCAGAAGTAGTTGCAGGGTGCTTCTCATCCTGCAGAAGAAGCTAACAGCTTTAGTCAGTCTTCAGTTTAGCTCCCACCCACATTTCCTACATTTTTCTCTTCTATAAAAGGTCTCTTGAAGGAAATGACACTTACTCACATGAGTCTTTAGGCTGCTCGAGACAGAGAGCAAAGCCAGTATCTGCAGAAGTAACTGACCCACAGAACAAGCTGCTCTGTCATGTAGCAACAGCTGGGAGGGGCTTGTTTTACATGAGAACACAAAAACTCCCACTTGCCAATGCAGTTGATTGTTTGCCTTGGTCTCTCTCCCTCCTCACCCTCGCCTCAAGGCCCCCCC